GTGATTATCTATACACTCCAACCTCCCACCCACTCTCTCTCTCTTTTTGTCTTTGTACCTGACTCTGTTTATTGTATTATAAATCAACAGTACACTTATGTCAATGTTTGTCTTATTATTATTGTTATTATTTATTCTATTTCTTTTTGTTGATTGATAAATTACAAAGTGAATTGTATATCATTTCAATCAGTATATACACTATATCACAACAAAATACTATTAACACCAGATTTTCCAATAGAGCATGTTAAAAAAAGCATGTATTCTTCATGAGCTGACAAGCACCACAATAGCATGTACATATTTTTTACTGAAGTACACAGTATTTCAAATAGCTTTAAAAATCCACTTAGCACATGCATGTAAATGTACATAATGTAAATAAGGCATCTTTGTACTCTATACAATATACAAGTACATGCATAGTGTAATTTCTGAGGAAAATTATGGGTAGCTAAACTGAATTTCACATGATTTTTCCTTGAAAATATGAGGAGAGAATATTTTGTACAATTATTGGTATTAATGATATTATTATATCAAAGGGGAACACTGTTGGGTGTAGACATAAATAGATGCCTATGTAATGCTGCAAGCCACAGTACATAATAATGCAATAATAGTAAGCATTCCTCACTGCATGCTTCAGTTACTAACATGATTGGGACTCCTTAATAGTAAGGAGTAGTGCCACTCCTATACTACTGGGGATATACCAATTGTAACCAATGGAATGCAATGTAGCTGTGGTATGTGAAACAAAAATGATTAACAACACAATAATTATATTCTCATATATGCAACACAAGTACTATTAATGCAAAAGTCTCATAAAAGTATGATTATTGATAAAGTTATCATAGTCAGTGATGTTATAAGGTTTAATTAAAGTTCAAGAATCAAGTGACTGAATCGACGTTTGTATCACGAGTGACCGCTGAATTCTTTGATGCAGTTGAATTAGGTTTACGCATCATCTTACGACAAATTTGAACAATGACACTTTTAATCTCTGGCCTGAAGTATGACTGAACAACTGGACTCAAGACCAAAGCTAAGATGAAAAACACAAGGGAAGAAATTATAAGTGTGCCAGGAGCATCAAGTATTGCTAAAAATGAGGACAAGAAAGCACCTGGAATGAAGCATATCCCATAGACGAGTAGCATGGACCCAAATATCCCAAACAACCTCTTCTTTTTTGAAGCATAGACACTCTCTCCTACTATCATTGACTGATTATTAATAAACTTACGAGTGAAACAAAATGTCCAAATTGATGTAACGACAATGATGCCTAACAGGATTAATATCACTAGAAACCGAATGACTGCCATAGCTTGACTGATGGTAAGAGCATTACAGATTCCTAGAGGAGCCACGTACCAGTATGCTATACCAGATTCATCAATGAATCCTGAAGAGAAAAAGATAGAATTGACTATCCACACAATAATGACAAGGACCAGAGCTACCCTTGGACTCATGAACCGCTTGTGGAGATGAGGCTTTACAATAAAAAGGAACCGATCGATTGATATGAGACTCAGTGTCATATACATGATGTAAGCAGAAGTGATGATCATAAAAGCACTGAAATCACAGGTTCCTTGCTTCTCATCATCAGTGCTACCAATGATCCACTCACCAGCAAATAATGAAGTGATTGTGAATGGAAGATACAGCAGAGTTAAGGCAAGGTGTGCCAGTATGAGAGAAGTAAAGAATATTGTTGATGAGTGTTTGAAGGACTTCTTTTGATAAAAGGTAATCACCAGTACAACAACATTAGCTATGAGAGCTAGTATCATCTCAATACTAAGAACTCCTGCTACTGCCTCAGGACTAAACTCCCCAGTAAAAGTATAATTCCTTTCCATCCTTTCTTTCACAAGACTGAACTAACAAAACTTATTATTTTGATGATAAACTACTCATTTGAGAAATCTTCCTGTAGCTAACTATTATATCCTTCAGTTATTTACTGCAGAAATAGAGTATACACTTTGTTATATAGCCATGAACCTAATGAATTAGATATTGATCATGAGTGTAGCATATTACATGTATAATGCAGTTTTTCTTTAGCTTAAAACTTCCCTCTTTTTCTACATGTCATGTAAATGAATGCCTTCTTAGTGTATCATGCAACTGAGTTCTGTCATGTGGAACTAAAGTAGAACAAACTGAAAACAATCAGATGACATAAGATGTAAACAAAACAAGTGGCTCAGTAGAATAAATTTTAATTGTTAGGACCAATTCAAATTTATAATGCATCAATTTGTAATAGAAAATTGACTTTATGAAGCAATGGAACTGTCTTGAGCTACTTTCAGCATGTGCCCTAATCTTAAAACTTCATATACTCTAGCTGAATAAACATATTTTAAGCTCAAAATACACAACATTTGCTGCCCACCTGTTATCTAAACTTTCTACATACCACATCAAGCATTGCATGGAGAATGTTGTGCTTAAAATACATTAAGTGTACTAATTGTCAATTGTTTGCTCTCTTCTGCTTGCATTATAGAACAGCAAACTGTGACTCCATTAACGTAATTTGGGACCATGACACAGCATTGATTCCATTAGTTGGCTTCACTCTCATTTTGCATCTAATTTATTCTTAACTTACCAAAATATTACCTGGTATGGACCAATGACCATTTTCCCTAGTGGTTTAGTAGTCTGTTCTTTATTAAAAACTCATAAGCTTAATGCATATTTAGCTGCTGCAATTCTGCTCATTGAAATCAACAATTGTAATTAATGCATGGTTCAGCAACTAAAGTAATAAAACAGCAAAAATCATTTATTTTAGCATTATAGCAGCAAAAAGTCAGCATGCAAGAAATAAGCATTGAGTTCCATGCATAATAGGCTAATTACTTGACATAAATCTCATAATAGCCAACGGGGATGTCTTCTTCGTAAGTACCACCACTAGCACAGACCCTCAACTCAATATAGTCAGTAGTGGTATTGCTACCATAGTCTCTGTGAAACCATGGGATACCAGGAACATTACAACAAGGTGATTCAAGTGAACCACAGCCTTGACCATCCCAGAGTGGATCAGATGTATAGAGATAACTTGATATACCATTATAAGGATTCCCTGATTCACAGAAGTAGTTATTACCAATAAAAGACTGCATTGATGCTGAACTACCAGTATTACATGGGCATGCATAATATACAGAGCTTGTTTGAGTGAGTCCACAAATTAGTGACCAGACATGTTGACGAGGAGACCCACGAGTGATACTAACGCCATCAATGTAAGGAGAATTGAGATCATTAATGTATGTATTAACACCATCTGTTGTATTGTAATAGTAGAAACAAGATAGGACAGGCATTTAATTTTTGTGTACCATTTAAGAACATTCTAGATTATTATTTTTCATTTTAATTACTGGACTATTCCTTTTGTTGTTTGGACTATTCTTTTTGTTTACTGGAACATTCTGGACTAGAATGTTCCAGATTTGTACCTTGCTATAAATTTGTGTGATTTTGTAAATGGTTTGCCTTTCTTGGTAAAAACATAATATTAAACCACTTACTTCTGGTGAACACTACGGTTACATTTGGTGGCAGCGGTGCAGCGACTGGTGGCCTGCACTCAAATTATAATTTGTGTATATGTGTGAATGCTGAGGTCTGGAAAAGACTACAAAACAATGGCTGAACTACTGGAATTACTCAAGCAATCGGAGCAACAACGAAAGGAAGAGAAGGAACGATACAAGGAAGAAAAACGGCAAGCAGAAGAACAACGAATGGAGGAGCGGCGACAAGAAAGGGAACTCCGAGAAAAAGAACGGCAAAGATATGAAGAAGAGCTACGCCAAAAGGAAGAAGATAGGAGACGAGAGCGAGAAGAGGACTGCTTACATTACGAGGGACTGATAAGGAGCCTGACAGAAAAAAAGAAGGATTGATGTGGGGCCGGAGACTCTGAAACTGACAAAGTTGGGTGAGTCAGATGATATAGAAGCTATTTTGACAGCTTTTGAACGGGCTGTGGATGCCCGACCAGAAAGACTGGGCAGCAATGCTAGCTCCACAACTAACCGGGAAGGCTCTCAAAGCTTATGCTGCAATGGAAAACGCCGCAGACGCCAAAGATTATATGAAGGTTAAAGAAGCTATCTTTCAGCGCTATGACATTAATGAAGAAACCTACAGACAACGATTTCGCTCAGCTCACATAAAAAGAACAGAGACACCGTTGGAGATGCTGACACGGATTACAGACCTTGCAGATAAGTGGCTGGTGTCATGTACAACTAGGAAGGAAGTTATTGACTGTGTTATATTGGAGCAGTTTGTGAATGTGTTACCAGAAGAAGCAAGGACATGTGTCAAAGAACATAAACCGAGTTCAAGCAAGGAAGCAGGTCAGTTAGCGGAAGACTTTCGACAAGCAAGAAAGGACAAGTGGGAGGCAGCAATTGGGAGGAAGGTTGAGGAGAAAAGATGTCACAATTGTAAGAAGGTGGGTCACCTGGCTAAGGATTGCCACCAATTGAAAGATCTAGACAAGAATAGCAAAGAAGATAAAGACAAACCTCAAATTACATGCTACAATTGTAAAGCCAGAGGACATATAGCAAAGAACTGCCCAAAAGCAATGTTTTGTGGTTTACAAGAGGAGTCGTTAAATCACCATTACTACATGGACGAGTAGAGGGACGAGTTGTGAAGGACATACAGTTGGACACCGGGTGTTCTCGAACTGTGGTGAGGAGTGAACTGGTAGATAAACAGAAGTTTCAAGAAGACACTGTGTCGATTCAGTGTGCTCATGGTGATATAGTTTCATACCCAGTAGCCGAGTAGCGGTTGTAGAGATAGACGTAGGTGGAAAGTTGCTTCAGGTGGAAGCAGCGGTGTCGGATACATTACCGAGGTCAGTTCTATTGGGGACAGATGTGCCCGAGTTAAATAGCCTACTCAGAGAGGAGAGAGTGGATTTGCTGTCTTAACAAGGAGCGGGGCTCGTAGACAGAAGAAAGAGGAAGAGGAGTTACAACGGAAGGAAAAAGAATCAGGAGCAAAAACAACAACAGTGGAAGTAGATGCTCAGGAGTCGAACACAGTGGAACTCACCCCAGCCATAGATAATGGATGACAATTATCTGAAGAACCAGGGGACAAAGGAGGGCCAAAGGAGGCCAAGGAAGAACAGAAGGACGGAGATCAGCCACAGGAGGAGAGGAATAATAACAGCTGGTTGGATGTTGGGCTGCAGTTTGATGATGACATGTTCTACAGGAGGGAAAACTAAGGAAAAAACAGACAAGGTCACAGAAGAGAGAAGAGCAGTATGAACATGCAAGGATGATGCACTTTTTGATGCACTTATGCTGTGTAAAAGTTTGAGGTAATTCTGAATAAATGTTAAGTTATGTCCGTTTGTAAAAAGAGCTGATTTCGGAGAAAACCATAGGTTTTCCCCAAAAATGGCTCTGAAATCACCCCAATATATACTGCAATTTCTGATACATACTGATGTCCTTATGCTAAGTTTGAGGTGATTCTGAGTTAAATTTTTCAAGTTACGACCATTTTTAAAAAATAGCTAATTTCTAAAAAGTTCTCAAGGTTTTTTCCAAAAAATGGCTCCAAAAATCACCCCAAATGCACAAATTATTATCACATTTATTATGCATATTGATGTCCTCATGCTATGCAGAAATTTCATGTATTTCCGATCAAAATTGAACTTTTATATTAATTTAACTTTCACACTCAAGTAGCTGGCAGTTTTGAAATTTTAATTTTTGATCAAAATGTCTAAAACTCATTACAAGTAGCACAAAATATAAAAAAAACACTTTATTACAGCATTTAACAGCATAAAAAGTCAAAAAATATTAGCAAGAAGCAGCAGCAACATACATAAAAAGGCCTACACTGTCCAATTATTTGACGTAAATCTCATAAAAGCTAACTGTGGTATCCTCATTATTATTAGAACCAGAATTACCACAGACCCTCAACTCAATATAGTCAGTAGTGGTAGTGCTACCATAGTCTCTGTGAAACCATGGTAGTCCTGGAGCAGAGCAGCAAGTAGCTTCAAGAGAACCACAACCTTGACCATCCCAGAGTGGATCAGATGTGTAGAGAATAGGCGACCATGAAGAAGCTTGATTACCAGACTCACAGAAATAATTGTTTCCTACAAAAGATGGGACAGTCTGAGAGCTCCCTGTTGCACATGGACATATCCATTGTGGGTTATTGTTATAAGAATCAGTTAAACCATTTGCTAGTGTCCAGACATGTTGACGAGGAGACCCACGAGTGATACTAACACCATCAACATAATAAGAATTGAGGTCACTTGGTCCTTCAAAAGCATCTGCTGAATAATATTGATATCCTGTTACTCTACCACATATCTGAGAATAACGGAGACTATTAGATGGGAATGTAATAGAGCTGCAGCTACCGCTGTTTGTTCCTGGTCTACCACAAGCTCTAACTCCTCCTGACTGGTACAGTCTAAACCCAGAAGGACAGTTCTGTGTAGCATCAGACATATCCAGATATGCTAGTCTTGTCCATCCTCCTCCTGAACCACACAATGCTCCAAAAATACAGTATGTAGAATATGTTCCAGT